CAACGGGCCAAGTGGCGTCTTATTGTAAAGCCGTGTATCTATGCTGTTCTTTATAGTTTTTTTTAGTGGATGGTTTTCTGCGGCTAGTGTCTCAGCTTAGCAGGAATAGTCTGAGAAAGTTACTCGCATCCTGCTTCACCAGCTTTCCCTGTCAATTCACAGGCTTCGTTTAAGCTTGCGCGTGCTTTCCCGTCTGGTGGCATCGTGCTCGGTCATAGCAAGTTGTTTAGACCCCAGTAAATTCGCTGATCCGTCAGATTTCCTGCCACCAAGACAGTGATATCAGCAGTAGGTCCTGCGCCATGCATGACCTCAGGGTTCTTATTTTAATGAAACTCGATATCCTCTAGTCAGTAAAGTCAGAACTCACTACCCAGTCCATCCATCTATAGGCCGAGGCGCTTAAGTAGCCAGTCCAGTACGATGGCCGACTGTAAGCAAACCACAGTTCGTTTGGTCTAGTGATTGCACTTTGGGCTTTCCTATTCGGAATATGGATTGGAAGCCGCCTATTGCCGACACTTTCATCAGCATGTATAGCTCGGTGCCCCCAGCTGACTCCTGGTTGCTGTTAATTCATCAAATTCAATATGAAATTTAAATGTTATGCGAGTTGGCTCTAATGAGTTATCAGCACATGCTGCTGCCTAATGGGTCTACTGCACAGTACGTGGCTTGAAACTACGAATTTGTCTCAAAGAGTCTCCTTAGGTATTCTACATCCTTTTCCAGGACAGTGCATTATATCACCTGCAAAATTGACCGAGCCATCAGCTATCTCAAATGAGCAAAATAGGTTCTCAGTGTCGATGCTTTTGTTCTAACCAGCCTCATAAGTCTTACTCACGAATCAGCTTCTGAAATATCAGGAGTGGTTTCGTTTGTTAACTCCACAGCAATTTAGTACGAAACGTTACCTGCTGCTTTAAGATCAACCTGGGCGTTACAAATTGTGCGTGACTCGCGGATGATATCAATCAACGCTGGTGAGAAGAAAAGAGCATTATTGCAGTTCGTTTGAATTTCGGTCTTAGAAGTGCTCTTGTCAGGTTATTGGCCGCTGATAATTGTCGCAGGTACACCTGATAGCTGTAGTCGTGTTTATCGATTTAACGAACGCGTCCGACTCGATCGGTCGGTCGCTCAGTTCCCCAAAGGGCCGCGCAGTGTTATCAACAGTACGCGGGCTGACGCTCCGGTGCCACGTGACCACCACCAATCAAACGTGGGCTACTTATGCTGGGACCTCGTTCGCACCTACACAGATTCAGATCGGTAACTTTTAGGTTACAAGGCAGACGCCTCATTTCTCCGGCTACCGACTCTGATGATCCTGAACCATCCACAATATATATGCCTATTAACACCACATTTAAATAAGTACCCGCGACTGGATCCGCGGCACATCAGTGCTGAGACCATAGGTGGACAGCTCGTCCGGTCCATATTCTTATCCGGAAAGATGTTCTCATGAATTATTTGAGCATATCACAGGATGGAGCGAACCGTCATATACATTTCCAAAAACAAGTTGCGCTCATCAGTTGCTTCACTTTCCCACTTCCATCAACTTTTGTCGTAACCTATCGCGGATTGTTCCACGATACAAGTTTAGTGGTTCTGTCTCGAAGAAACTAGTGAGTCTGAATTACTTCAACAACAGTACCTTGCTGCTTGAATCGCGAAGGTGTGCAATCATTCATTACCAAACGTCTTGGATTGATTTCATTTCTTCACATTTGTTAGATCTTCAGAACGCAGTGCTTTAACAGGAAAATCAACCGCCAGCTATTTATTTGATCCGTAATAGCAAGAGCCCGGCGGCAATTGATCAGTGCATTCATCTTGTTGGCTGCATCAGAAACGCTGGACATATGACTGCTAAAGCCATTTTACGTGCTGAGGGAGTTTACGCTTTTGTCATGAGTTCGCGCCACCCACGTGCATAATGGTGCGTAAGCAGAGTTGCAACGAGAGTACATCGAGTAACTAAGTTATCCTCAGCTCTCTGCTTATTTTGGATCACTTGAGTCAGATTGCTCCAGCATATCCTCAACGTTGCATCGGACGGCTCAGTGCTAGTTGATGCGGACCCAGTTAGTGCGTTAAGTGTCGAGCGCGTTCCGCTTTGCCTTGCCAATCGTTTAGCTGGAAAACTACAACCATATCCTTCATTGATCGTCGCGAAGCTTCGAAATCGTCACCTTATCCACTGCATACAGTAGGACGGATTAGCGGAAGCATGCTGCTGATGATACTTCCCTTCTTTCGTTTACACCTGTTTTTCTTTTGCTCCTTCTGACTTCCATTACTCACTTTACTCCTATGGTTCCCAATTTAAAATACAATGACCGCAATATCGCTGGAGTTCTATCATCTGAAGCCATCTTTTTGCATCGCCCACTAGACTCCTATCGCCAACAGCCCCTTATAAGACCATGTATCTAGAGGCACTGTTGCAGCAACAACTGGTCATGCTGGCGTGCGCTTCGTTCTCAACTCAGACTGAATCACCGTTGGTTGCCTTGATTCCGGTTAACAGCCGTTTGTGTATATCATGGCTTGCCGAACAGCCTCCTCGTGGTGCCAGCTGGGTGGTTCGGGATTTTCCCGTTCCAGCAAATGGTTCGGCGGCAGTGTTCCAGGGCCTGGTGGGTTTTCGCCTGGCAAGCGTTCTCCCTATAACAAGCCACGTATGTCCGTTTAACAACACTGTGACGTGGCGGACGTGACTCGACACTAAATAAAGTCACTGCCCCTTGCTTCATCCTGGCGAAGCATTGTATTCCAGCAACTTATGCTGTACTTCTGGGGAGCATTGGGCCCCTGTTTGACAAAGGAACAAACAAAAGGCGTATGAACTGAGCAATCAGTCACCGGCTCCCAATGGGCGCGATTCCCTGAATTCGCTCCGCTGCCTTGTGGGCAGGCTATTCAGCCAAGGCTCGGGGTGGTGTCCCCTAAGTCAACACCCTACTTCGGCTTGGGCAACCGGGTAGTATCTCGCCCTCTGAGGAAACCATGGACATTGTTGTGTTGTGTTTTATTTTACTGTTTCTGTACCTTCGTTTGAATCCCATGGTTTCTGATGGCATTATGTCTGTTAGCAGACTTTTGCAAATATATATATATATATATGTATATATATATATATATATATATATATATATATATATATATCCCGTTCGAATACATCAAACAAGGTTGCCTTACTAGACGTTGTTTGCTTGTGGTTTCTGCTACTGATCTCATCGACTGCAGTTCTGAGGCTGCACTCCACTGCGAACTGGCCACTGCTATGCAGCGTTACCAGTTCAGATCTCATTATTGTTGCGAGGAGTAATAATGCATTAGTGGGTCGCCTGAGCCCTTCAGAAGTTGGGCTAGGTGCTAAGCATTGTCTTAACTTCGAAAAGACGCACAGCAGTAAGCATCTGTTGCAACTATGTGTGGAGCACCGGATGTTCCTTAGCAGCATTTAGGCACAGTGTGTGCCGAAGTGCCATTTCGTGTCCCCTGTAGCTGGCCATCGATGGGCCCAAACGGCCCACATTGCAATGAGTTAGGCGAACCCGTAAGCTGGTCAGTCTATGGCGTGGCATAAATGCATGAGTGTACTGACTGAGAGACTCTCAGGTTGGTGCATGCTGTCTTTGTGCATGGGGGCCACTGGATGGTCCACACCGGTAGTTGGACATCCTATCGGACATGATGCAGTCCGTGGCGCTCCTGCATCCAGTTTCTTGCACCTGGCTGTTACTATTCCCTCCATACTGGTTATTTGGTTTCATTTTCACTATATTCTATATACCTTTAACCTCACCTTATTGTCACTATTTGATGTTATCCTGGCCAAGTGAGTCTTGAAAACTGAATCCGCCACGCCCCGGTGCCCCGATCGTGGTTATTCAACTAAACCTAACTATACTCCGTGGTTTCTTCGTTTGATTCTTGACCGATTCATGCTACTATGCTTCTGCTTTACTCTTCCTCATTCGTCGGCCCGTAGTCTAAAGGTAACAAGCTCATCTGGCGGCGCGGGTTCGAGCCTGCGTACGGGCAGGGCGACCCGCGCATGTGCGACCGATGGTCATTACGCGGCAGCGAATCGTCGGCACTGCGAACCTGCGTACTGTCTCTTCCTCTTTCGAATTATTGGGTGTGCCTTGAAACATTTACAAAACTACGGTTATACCTACTCTACTATTGCACACTCAAGTCGCTATCCCCCACAGAAGGGTCACACAAGAACACTTCCAGCGCTTACATGCCATTCTTTCAACGATCTTCCAACTTTGTCGTCATCTTTGTTCATTTACACACATTGCTAATCATATGCCCGTTCAATTACGGTTAGTTTCTGCTCGGTATATAGGCCGATATAATGTCCCAAGAAGCATAAGGCAGAGTGACTGGTTCTGCTTCACTATAGTTGCGATTGGGTTTTGATGCAAAAGCGCTATACGACACATTTTTATTACGCCAACTGCTACGCACTGCAACCACTCGTTATATCTTGGAGTGCTCACGGTGTACCTTAGCTGCTTCGCGTTCCTTGTCATCCTTTGTGCTCACACATGCAACGATTTTCACCAACACGTTTCTCACACTTTTCTACTTCGGTGCGTACCTTTCCGTCTCACTTCTGCCTTGTTCATATACTGACGTGTGCTAACTCATGCACCACTTTTCTCTAAGTTTTTGTACCTCTTTATGCCTCAAAGTTGCGCATTTCCTATAGAAATGGCTAATAACTCGGCAGTTTTAAAAAATTCGCAGAGCGCTTATTTTCGTTCCCTTTTATTCCTTTTTTGCTTGAATGCTACTCCATTTGGATCCTTATCCTGTATCTGATTCAAGCGATATTTTCTTCGTTTGTGGACGAATTGTTAGTCCGTATTGCTATCACAAATGATAGATAAATCGTTTTTGCCTGTCTTTTCTTATATTTTCCTCCCCTTCCATGGGCCAGTAACCTCTACTTATTTTTTGGTGGCCAGCCTGAACAATTCGTAAACCTTGGAATTGAACCTCCGAAGGGGATGCTTCTTTTCGGACCTCCGGGGACAGGCAAAACGCTCTGTGCTCGTGCCGTTGCTAATCGCACAGATGCTTGTTTCATACGTGTGATCGGGTCTGAGTTGGTCCAAAAATACGTTGGAGAAGGTGCGCGTATGGTACGAGAGTTGTTTGAGTTGGCTAGGAGCAAGAAAGCATGTATCATCTTTTTCGATGAAATCGACGCCGTCGGAGGTAATTGTTTCTGGTTGCCATAACTCTTCTTCCCTTCAGGTGCCCGCTTTGATGATGGTGCTGGCAGTGACAATGAAGTGCAGAGAACTATGTTGGAACTGATTAACCAATTGGACGGATTTGATCCTCGTGGAAACATAAAGGTCAGTTTAGTTTGCCACCCACGCCATACAAAATGTGCAGCCATAGCTTTTCATTCGATTGTTAGGTCATTGGTGTCGTAATGGAATAATGTAGCACATAGATATATCCCCGACAGTGTTTTATGCTTATACGTTCTAACTTCCTCCGACGCTGTCCGGTACCATGGCTACACTCTATGGAGTTCGCATGGGCACCACTGCTTGTTTCAGCTCGTTACTTTGTCAACTATGTTACCCACACGGATTCGCAGTTGGGTTTCGATGACACCTTGCTTCTTCCCATGGGGATATATATATATATATATATATATATATATATATATATATATGTATATATATATATATGGTTGGCGGCATCCGGTTTCGGATTTGCCTGTCACTGTGGCAAGCCACAGGACGCCTGCGCCTACAGAGGGACCATGAATGGCTTGCACTGCACCACCCACAGCTCCAACCACACACCCCATATCCAGTGTAAACCCGAGGGAATAAGACCGGGAGGCATGCGGATGGAAACCACGTTTCATCAACGGAGCCGGCCCACACTCCTTCACAGGCAAACACAAGCACACTGTATTTGGGAATCAGGCACACACAAGGCGGTGGCTGGACCGTAGTCCGCTCCACACTGACTGCATGGAACCACTCTTCGAGCCTAACACGGCCACAAGGACCGTGCACCCTGTCCCCTCCAGCAACGACCAACTGTCTCCTAGAGCCAGTATGGACGAGGTAGCGGGTAATAGACAGGTAGGCACCTTGTCAACATGCACATCAAGCGCAGCCACACCGGGATATCAAACAACAGCCAAACACTTGAGAGAGAGAGAGAGAAAGAAAATAACTCGATTGATGCATAAGGAAACGGTGACATAAACCTTAAGTTAATGAGCATATGCAATAAGTTGTTTACAAACGAATCCTAGATAAGTTCACGAGGTGAGAAAGTATACTATACGGAAATGCCACGAACACAAAAATGTTATGGAAATCGAATACAATTGGCTTAAGCGAGGTGTGCAAGTTAATGGAATAGAGTACAGGTAGACATTTATATGAGAAAGAAAAGCATTAAGGCAAAATTGAAAACCCACCACCTGAAATAAAGAGACTTGGCACGCGGTTAGTAAAAAGAATGCAGCGTATCTACAGACGCTGCGCCGGTTTTGAATACTTCTCTGCAGGACCCGTCGTCGCTTCTGTAGTGGTCCCGAGTGGCCTCGCTCATGGCTCACTAGACACTAGACATTTATAGGAGAAATAAAGGCATTAGGACAAAATTGAAAACCCACCACCTGAAATAAAGAGACTTAGCATACAAGCACGTGGTTAGTAAATCGAATGCAGCGTACCTACAAACGCTGCGCCGGTTCTGCCTATGTTCTCTGCAGAACCCGTCGTCGCTTCGGTAGTAGTCCCGAGTGGCATCGCTCATGGCTCACTAAGCCTGCCTGACTAAGGCACTCGCGACCGCATGTTCTACAGCACCATGCGCTTGATGTCGATGGAGTACAATTCATCGGTGCTTGCCGCTTCTTCTCTGCATGCATGAGGGCTTTCTTCTGCACCTAGGCAGTTGCCTTCGTGATCAGATCGCGCCATGCACCACGATCAACCGCCTTCGATTCCCATGATCTGCAATCAAGATTAGAACGTGAGGGGCTCACTTTAATCATGTCCTGGTAACGTAACTTTGGTTTCCCCACGTGCCGCTTCCCAATACTCAGCTGACCATATAATAGCTACTTCGGTATCCGCGTCGAATCCATACGGCTCACATGACCGAGCCATCTCAGGTGTCTCAATAAAAGTATGCAGTTCACTGCATACATCCCACTTCGGCGCAACACTTCCGTGTCTGCAACTCTGTCGCCCCAGCCGATCCGCAAAATTCGTCGCAAACACTGCTAATGGAACCGCTCCAGATATCGCATATCCCC